TACTCACTCTATCACTTACATGCTAATTTTTACTTGAGAGAGTAACTTAAGCAAAGCTATATTAATACTTATATAAAGCTACAAAACTAGATCGTGAAGTGTTGCGCTACAATTTCGAGTGAAGATAACAAGACTAGAAGTTTAAATTGTACGCTCGTATAGTTTAGTAAGCTTGGGTAGAATTACATACAGGTTTTTTAATTAAATTTAATCAACAATTAAGTAAGGAAGGCTGCTTCCTTATAAGTTCCATATTATTAAGAAAAATAGTTGTGAATAAAAAATATAAAGGAGATTGAGACAAAACTACATAATAACATTTTGTGAGTATATTGCAAAAAATGAAATCACGAGAGTCAAAGTTTCGACCTAAGACGAATTACAAGGAACTGAGGAGTCCTCTTAATAACGTAAATTAAGCAAGGTCGACGTTACATAATCGCTGGAATCGTCCATCGAAAACAAATAATAAAAGTCATTAAATTCTTCACAAGGAACATGGAAGCGAGAAAAAGAGTTCATAATACACTGCGACAACGGAAGTGGGATGCAATTCCTTACCATACCAAACAAGACTGATGACGTAATACCACCTTGAATAAGTTTTAAAAAAATTCTATTCCCAGATCCAACTTTCAACGATCAAGAACGAGAGAATGGATAAAAGATAAACGCCGTGCATACAGAAGTAATTTTCAGTAAGTATCCCATCGTAGTGGGATACCTTCAATCATACCAACGTAACAATCATTAATGTGAGACTAAATAAAAAACGCATATCCAACTAACGGCTTTAACAAAGCCGTTTAAAGATCTTTCGTAACGTAGGTGCCCTAAAAGTCCTTTGACAAACCAAATCAAACCAAATGCAGATTTCGCCTTGCATACAACAGGTTTTGCATGCGATTTACCTTACAGCAAAAATAAACCGGACACAAAAAGAGAGAACCTCTCCAAGCTTGGTGAAGGGAGAATAAGTTTAACACGATCAGTAAAGCTTAACATCGAGAGTACACTAATATTTCCGAATTTCCGAATAAATACCCAAAAGAACAGCGGGCATAGATGGTTCCCCTGCGGAGTTCCAGATTTCATCATCATATACTCACACAGTTACAATCTAATTAAAACTCTTTAGGTACGATCCATAATACAAGAACGAAATCAATTTAGAAAACTTTGAGTAAAACTAATTTTATTTAATTATTAAAGATTAGTAACTTATGATTAACTTTATCGAATGTCTTACTAAGGTCAGTATGAATAACATCTGCGTGTATGCCACTTTTGAATGAGCTAAAGACACGGCAAGCAAATTCTAAGAGTAAATAAATAACAATAATAAAGCATGGATGATTTTAAACGGCAAGCCTTTCTTTCTGCAAGCTGCCAAAAAAGCTCTCTTAAATTTTTAGAATGAAAACTTAAACGTATCAAAGTAAACCGGCCGGACAAAAACTTATCAAAACAATTAGCCTCATATCATTAATTATTTATCTTTTTATTTATTTATTTATTTATTTATTCCACTTATACAAGAAACTCAACTAAAACAAAATGGCAGTCGAGTTCTTAAAGTAAACCTTAAATTAATTAATATTAAAACTTAGCATAAGTACAATAAAACAAATAAGAAGGAAAAAAAAAAAGAAAAAAAGCATGTACATAACTAGTATAGAGCCACACCCACAACCGGTACGGGACCAAAATGCAAGTGAACCCCTAAGCCATCGCAAACATGCATAAGCTTGGCAATCGATAATACAATTAATTTTCGACTCATAATCACTTTTTAAAGCTAAAATTTAGTTCAAGTACGACATAGGTAAATCGCACGTATTAAGCAATGTTGCTTTAATGGACTATAAAGAGTCCGTTAATGAGAATAAGTGATAGACGTCATTTAGGTTCTTGCAAACAACTCTGAGCGGGTTAAACAGTTCGTAATTATATTTGCATTGACTAAGCTTTATCAGGCTAAAGTGCCTAGAGATCGGGTTTTATTTAATTTTAACCCATTAATTCAGCAGCAGTATAGTAAAAGACTCTAATAGAGTAATGCTAAATAAGTAAAAGTATCATTACCATAATGACTTGTCCCATCTTCTCTTTAAGCTTTTCAAGCAAAAAGCCATCTAAACACTCGTTGCTAATATTTCCATAGCAAAGTAGCATAGCAAGGGTAGACTTTTTCCGGAATGTTAAGCTGCATCCTTTATATAACATTATCTTGGAAAATTCGAATCAACATCTATTACAAGTTTTTAAAAATCTTTTGGAGAATTAAAATTAACAACTTTGGCAGTCTTATAGCGATAGCTCAAAACCACTTTTCGAATAATAAAGTATTTGTTCTGCTAAAATGCAAGAAAGCGAATGTCTAACGACCATAGTTGTGCTTCAAATCTTTTAATCTTCTCAATTTTAAAATATTCTCGATGACGATGAATGATTGATTCATTTATCACAATCAGTTGAAAGATGTTTTTATCAACGTCCTTTGAATGAATTCAGCTGCACAACTTTGAAGTCATCTTGTGGAATTTATCTGTTTTGCGAATCAAACAACGCTCATTATCCGTTCTTATGTGCTGTAAACGCTTAAGCCTTGTCATCAGTTCTTTTTTAATGTGCTGAAGTGAAAACGAATGTCGCGAACGTTTAATGGGGATATTTACCGGCAAAATTGAAATATTTTGATCAATAATACATTGTTATTTAAGAGACTAATGTTGATGGTATCGTGTTATAGTTAAAATTAATCGTCAAAGATCATAGCTAAAAGTTGCTGAAATGAAACAGATTACTGGAAAAAAAAAGAAAAGAAAATTGGCCTCCAAGGCGAAAAAAATTGATCATCCAGACAAAAGAAATTTCGAAAATATTTGTAACTTGAAAAAAAAAAAATAAAAAAACTTATATATACGAGTTGTATGAAAAACTTGTAGAACTTAAATGAAATGTGAAAGAGCGAGAAAGTGTTCAAAATATTCTTGAATTTATATCAAAACTGTATTGAAAATCAGTCGGTAGTAGTAGTTGGTCCAACTGAAACTATAAATTTGATATAATTTTGCCGGCATTCGATATAAATTTGTCGTCACTTTTGAAGCGTGAAAGTTGAAAAAAAAAGAAAATCGATTAAAAATGTCGTAGTCAAACAAGTTTAACCGTTAAATACATAAATTACACCACGGCATCTTACACAATTCTTCATGTGTTTTCGTAAGTAACTTCCAAAATTTCTATTTCTCTATATATAGCGATACGTTCCAACGGAGCCGTAAATTTGAGCTTGTGTGCTACAATTTTATCAATGTCAATTTGATTGCCAAAGATCTTATTATTCCCCAATTGTATATATCATGCAGTGCTACAAGCTAGTCTAGACGTTGCCGTACAGGTCTTACATTTTATTGTAATCTTTATATGGGGTGGGCCCGGAAACGTGAATGTATGTTGTCCATATTTTTTACAACTACAATTATTATTTATGTCAAATTTGTGATAACATAACATAAACGATTGACAATTATTGCATAGGAACAATTATTTCGGCCCATGTGACCCAAATTTTTCACATCAACTTAGAAGAAAAAAAAAACCTGTATACAGTGCATGTTTGTTACAATTGTGGTTGTTATTTAGATCAAGATTCGCTTGTTCATCATAAAATAATAAAAATTATTGCGTAGGAACTGTTATTCCGGTCCATGCAATCTAAACTTTTCACGTCAACCTAGAATGCCGCAATGCCGGTAATCAGTGATCGTTTTGAAGGATTTTTACATATTTCAAATGCTTTTCATCTAACGAGTTCTGAAAGTAAATCGTTATAACCGCGCTAGTAGCCGAGTGTGGAAGAATTGCGACTGCTAAGTAAGAGTTTGTGAGTTCAAATCTTGGTGCGATGGAGTTTAATCTGGCCATAGTGTTGTCTTAAATCAAATCGTGATTGGGATACAACAGTTACCGGTTGTACACACATCCACCAGTCCACGAACATCTCCATATTTCCATGTTGCACATGTTACGTCTATACAGGGCAATATTGTTTGACTGACTTGTCTTAGTAAAAAATATATATATATATATGTATAAGGAGAGGTGATACGCATAATTCAATGCATTTCCAATAGAGTTCGTTTTTCCATTTAAGCGCCCCCGGGTACAAAGAATATGTAAAAGATTGCGACTTGCACGTTGAGCACAGAAGTACATAGATGAACGGAGAGACGGGCCTACAGACAAGGGTGGTGGGTCTACTTCCTGGATGTTGCATACACCAAAACGAACCTGTATAGGAGGGACATAAAGCGTAACAAGAAGAGTGCAGACAGCAACGTTTTAGCAAACTTACTTTGTCGTCAATATTTCGTATAGTAGCTTGTGAAATCGATAGACTAACACTTTCTTAATCCTGGCGTGTAGAGCTGATTGTGTTAACTCATTCTTTTGATATTGCTGTTAATTGAATTTTTATTTATTATTAGCGTAATCTGTTCACGTGAATGCACGCAAAGATGCCCAAAGACAACATAATCCCAGAAATAATTCTGCTTAGCCTTGTGCCTAACACGAAATTGCCCTTATCATGATCCGGAATGCTTACGTCATTATTCTGCAAACTCCTCCAAAGTAGAATTCCTTTACGCCGACACATCGGCTAGACTGAGACATTTCGAATGAAAATATTGTACTTTGTTTTCATATTTACAAGCCTACTGAGAGTTCTCACTCGAACATTAAACCACTTACCTTACTATCTTCAATTTTCAAACTAAAATTTTATGTTGAATGCATTCGCTCTTAATAATTTTTTTCAAGATATAGGCCACATGAATACTGTGTATTAACATAAATGTACATGAGAGTATGAAGTAATTGTATTTGTTTGTAACCAGCATAGTTAGATGAAAGTAACTGGAAAAAAGAATTAAATATCCTTTGGTTTTATGCAACAATTTTTCAATCATTTTCCTTTCTTTCTTTCCTTCCAGGATAATAACTGATTGACGGTCAAAAATTATAAATCTTCGTATCTTATCTAAAATGTAAGTAACCTGTTATATATAATTGATTCATTTGTTTGTTTGTTTGTTTTTTTTTTTTTTTTTTTTTTAGATATATGTTTGAAGCATAGTAAGAAATACTGTTCATAAATTCCAATAAAAAAATGTTTTAGCTAAATTCAAAACCAGATTAAAATGGATTTAATGTTAAAAGTTTCTAATTATAAAGTTCTTATTGATATATATGACGTAGAATGAATGAAAATATAAGCTCTTGATTGGCCTAAGTGCCAGGAATGAGAGTTTTTATATCTATCCGTCCTGCCTATCTTTCCCTTAGCTGGCATAGAAAAGCGAATTTAACTTAATAAAACTCAAAGCTCAAAGATCATCTAGACCGGTACAAAATTACCAAAAATATTTTTCCTAAATAATTGCCTTAAAATTGTAACACTTAACAAGTTAATTATTTGAACTTAACAAAATCTGCTTTTAAGTTTTAAAAGTCAGCAGATCACATACGCATGAATAGTTTCCACTAAAAGTAATTTTCAATTTGAAGAAGTAACAAAGAAGAAAATGATATTTAATTGTGACCGAATCTCTAAAACCCGTCATCGTGATTCTAAAAACAAGGAAGAGAAGTAAATGATGTCATATTCTACAATATTGGATTGGTACGGCTAGTTTCTTCTATTTTCAAAATAAAAGTGGAAATTTATATGTCGTATGTGTTCTACTCTATGAATGAGTAGCAAAGAAGAGGAAAGGCAGCGGTGTTTGCAGGTTTTCTTACATAGACGTGAGACCAGTATTGCAAATGCGTTCTTTGAACACGTTAGGTCATTTTCAAACACTTTTTTATAGGCGATATCTTGATTTTTGCGAAAGGAAAAATGTGTACCACAGATACTACACAGTTGCGCACACGGCCAGATGGACAATTGAATAAACGCACATGCTTAAGTGCATTCCAAATTTCAAAGTGATCAAGAAATCATAAATAAAATTATGACACACTACAAGGTTATCTAAGCGTGGCCGATTTTTTCCATTTTTACAAAAGGTACTACAGCATCGCCCATAGAATATACCTTCCAATCTTTCCAGATTTATGTATTGCAGTTTATGAGTAATAAACAGAGAGTCAATTTCTTATTCTTTTTAAACAGCGAAGGCGCCTTGACATATTTAGAATACCAACCTGCATGCAAGAACTTGCAATGTTTCTGCCAAATTTGAAGCTGATAGCTTCTTTTTTGCAGCCAAGAGAATGTTTACAACAGATATTACGCAGAGGGACAGACGAACAACCTGGCAGACGGACCTGCTTAAATCGATTCAGAATTTGATGCTACTCAATAATACATGCATATGATGCTTCATTCTATGCATTGCAAACGTTTTGACAAAGTGAATATACCCCTCATCGTTCGATGGTGGGTATAAAAACCAGCCCACTTAATCATATAAAAGGTTATTTTTCGTAGAAAGGGTTATATGGAAAGTAGTTGGGCCAAAATGTACCGGTGCAGCAAACTTCATCAAAATATCTTAAAATTTACGGCCTGTAGGTTGAACGCAAGAAAACCAGACGAACAGACAAACTGAGATCAATGCCGAAAGTAATTCTGAATCGATCGGTATAATAAAAAGTGGATCTATCCATCCGCACAAACCTGATGTAAGATATCTAAGCGGGGTGTAGGGTATAACATTCATGTAGGAAGTACTGCCATATGTATACGATTTTACTAGTGTTTGTGCCGCACTCTGTATACAATTTAGACAAATAATTCAATCAAAACAACGTAGTCTTCATATAAAATTGGCATTTTTTTCTTGGCTTCGCTTTCGTAACAGACATATGTTTTTTGTTTACGATTAGCATGGCTGATTTTATCTATAAACCAGAAACTTGGCATCATTTACATAGCTACAGAGAATTGAATTAATTCTTTTATTATATAGAATAGCATTTGTGTACTACGGGAATTCAATATAGAATGCTATGCCTTGCAGTTAAATATCGTTTTCCAGCTTAGTGAAGAATATTAAAAATGTTTATCGTAATTACGTACATAATTTGTCTTTAATTAAAATTAATTTTCCAAAGTTATTAAAATCTTTTAGATATCTATTGTGATTATCTCCTGAATGAATTTATCTAATAAATATTTAATTATTTATAAAATAATTAATATTCTTAGAGTATTTTTAAATGCATATTAAATTTTATGACACATTTTTTGTTTGTATATATTTAGTTATTGAAAAGTTACGCATGACAATATATGTAAACGTAATAACATAAAAAGCATGAAATAAATTAATATATTCATTGATTCACACGCGAAATAAGTAAAAAAATAAAAACAATTTTCATGTGCACAAAAGAACAACATATAATAATTCTTTCTCATCAATATATATTAAATATATATATAGTTAACATATGCGTTTTAACAAATGCTGAATATGCTTAATAATTAAAACTTTGGCTCGTCCTCTCCCCGATCTTCTTTTAGATGGCATTACCAATGGAACCGATTTTTTTAAATTTCTTTTGTCCATCCATCCGTGGGCTTTGCGATGAGAAGCCCAAAAGAAAAAAATTTCATTTAAACAAATTTTTGTGCTTTTTTTTTTTTTTTTGGCTGTCTATATAGAAGACCTAGTACAAATTCAGTTCTTTATGGACCTGAAAGGGTACTGTACAACTTATGCAGAAGTTGTAAGTGTTATCCAGTTTTTCCTTTAAAAATATTCTTTTATTTTCATAACGTCCTACGGTTACATTTACTTACCCTATAATATGCTAGTATGAAAGGGTATATCTTATAAACACTTTCTCTTATCGACTTAATCTTATGCGATTTTCATAATTTTCTTCTCTCTTTAACAGTTGCTAGGCTGTGTTTCGTCCGATGATCAATTGTTAAATTCATTCGTTTTTGGTCTTTTAGTACAGTGGCTGTTTACAATCGAATGACATTCTTCACTTCTGTGATATTTTCGAGTAATACCGATTTAATTTATTTCATTTTGTTGTTGCACATGTTAATTTTTTTAGTTTAATTATTAATCGATGTTTATATAGATAAAGCAATTGGAAGCAAAAAACAAACAAGAGAGAGCAATAGTTCATTATTTTAGTATTGCTAGTACCTTCGTCTTTACCGGGTTCTTGTACGTTACAATTACGCGGACACACAGCTGACTCGTTTTATTGCTTCAGCCTAAAAACCGGGCCAGCCGCAATGGTATCACGATTTTAATTATGTTAAGACGAATAGCCGGGTTGGCCCTGCCAGACGACAAAAATCACATTCGAAATCGAATTTGAGGCCAAAACGATCAGTGATTTATGTGGCAAGCTAGGCACATAGGTCTTAGTTTCAACAATTATCTTCAATATCTGCCAAAATAGTACAAAAATAACATTTTAAGTACCTACGATGTGTAAGGTGCGATGTATGATCTACATAAAGAGAAGCGATGTTTCTTCTATGTTTTACCAAAGTGTTGCGTACAAGGCAAAAAGGGTGGTATCGAAAATTTCGACAAAAGCCAAGTTCAACTATTTGATTGTTAAAGGGTCTCTCTCTCTCTCTCTCGCTCTATCTCTCCCGCTCTCCGGCTCTCGCCCTCTCTTCCTTCTAAAGCAAATTAAGTCTACCTTCATTTTAATATTAGCTATCCGCCTCAGTAGCCCATTAGTCAGTGCGCACGGATTTAAATCTCAACCAGGGTTGAAGTTTCTTTGATCGTAGCTATAATAGTGAGTGCTCAGTTGGCGAAAATATAACACTTACCGATTGAGTACATATCCTCTAGACTTGCGGCCAACTCCTTGCCTTCTTCATCTATTTCCTCTTTTCTTTCTGGTCGTCATCGCGCTACTCAAAAACTTTTTAACCGATTGGTATTTTAAGAAGACCAATAAAAGCATTGCCAAGTACACAGGGGAACCTTAAATTAGCCGCTTTACACCATATTTTTTCGCTTCCACTTGTATTGCACTTGTAACAAATCTAGGCAGAAATAGTGACACGCGATGTACCAAAATTTGAAGACATCTTCCTTAAGAGCTAACTAGACTTTGCGAAAAGAAAAGAACGCAACACTTATTTAACACAGTTTACAACCAAATTTGTATACATTACACATAGTGGAATACAAATTGGTGTGCTCTCTTCCCCTTCGAAGGCATTTTAAATTTATTTAAAGCAAGCGATGATTGAAGTGTTTTAAAACTTTATTTGATTTGTATTCTTCCCCTAAGAAAGAAAAATTTTCAAATATTTTTATTTCAACTTCACTTTCGTTTTAATATAGTTTTCTCATCTCGTCACTACTTCGCATTTTTCCTTTTCTCAGGTATGCTATATATATATATATATATATATATGCTATATATATGTACATATTTTCATTCTCCCCTAAAAGTATGCCAATAGTATACATCATTATGATGGTAGCTCAATTCCTAAACATCAGGTTTTCTTTATACAACTACTACATAAGCATTCCTGAATCTATTCGTACGTCGTGCGTACTTTTAATGTGAGCATAACAGTGTAATTTCTTTTATTGTTATTGCACTGCTACACTGCTATTGTTGTTTATTATATTGTGTGTGTGTGCATTATTGTAAAATAAAGTTCAATTACATTTTTATCTTGTCACGTTTTCATATAACGACGTTGTGTTGACATTAATGTAAAGTGTGCATATTTGTGTTTTACGTTATTTATACACATTTACTTAACTACCAGACTGATATATAGGTTTCTGGGTTGCAGTAAAAGAATATATGAACACTATATTCAACCAAAGATATATTGTAAATTTCGATCGAAGGAAGAAGTAAACTGCAAAAAGAAGTTTTATTCTTTGTTTTCTTTTCTTTAAAACGTTCTAAACGGCTCAACGTTTTTCACGCAAAATTTTTGTTCTCTTATTATCTTATATCATAATTTGCTTATTACAGCAAGGTTGGAATGTGCGCTAGATTTAATTTGAAATATACACTAAATACT